CTTATTCATTACAAGCTTATAGGGCAGGCCCCACGGATCTGAATCAATAGTTGCTATCAACTCATTCCACGAGGCATTTTTAGCTATCTTAATTGCCTTTCTTAGCTCCTTCTTTGCCATGTTATAAGCTAATCTTTTAGCACGAATATCATCAGGATCGCCATTCTTCTTACATCGGGTCCAGAGCCTTCTCGCCTTAATCGAAGTACTTCTGAGTACGCTAATCTCCGTTGACCACCAGTATGCCTGTCTTCTCCTATTTTTACGTGAGATTAAAGGGGCAGCCACGTTGCATGCGCCATTCATAATTTCCATAAGCCAATCTACGTACAATTCCGGATCTTGCATAAAGGTCTCCGGAGTTTCCGCACTCATTAAAAATTCTGTTACTTCTGTAAGTAACTCACAATCAAGTTTTGCAAAATTCCATCTCTTTTGGATGGGAGATTTGTCTTTATTAAACCGTTGTCGCGTAACTTTAAGGACTATTTCGACATACTGGTGGTCGGAGAGAGTCTCGATTTGGTCCAATACTGACCAGCTTTCTACACATTCTAGTAAATGTGGGGAGACCCACGAAAGATCAACGATAGAACAGCCTTGCGGCCTTACACAGGTATAAGAGGTTCCGGTATTCAGAAGCCTAAAGTCCAGAGAAGCAGACCATCTTTCTACAAGTTCGCCTCTTAAGTCGGTCTCTCTGGATCCCCATAACTTAGAGTGCGCATTAAAATCACCACAGATAAGCAAGGGATAGACAATAATCTTGTGTGCATTATACAAGCTATGTAAAAAACGTCTAAATGTTTTTATGCGGACATTTGGTGAGACATAACAAGAAGTTATGCACATTTCGCCGGCACGAATTATAACGAAGCCTTCTCCGCGATCTAAGCAGTTGCAGTTTAAATTTCCGGTATTCTCCGGCATCCATAATACCGCTGCTAGTCCATCAGAGCTAAGAAAACAAGTGCTATTTTCCCTTATTCTATGTGGGGGTTCCGAAATAATTGCGAAACTTACATTAAACTCTGCCATGTATTGCTTAAGGAGATCGAGAGCTCCCCAGCTACGATTTAAATTAATTTGGACTAGTTTAATTGTTCTGTTCATATTCAGATACTTGCGAAACTTTCCTAGTTCTATTTGCTAGGGACTTTTTGATAGGTTGTACCCCACTAGGGAACCCTTGATTCTCCAAGCAGTGTGGGGAACCTATTCTATGTCTCGAATCCTTTCCAATTTCCTCACAAATGAGACATCTCGGCATGCCTGCGTTACAGGAACTAGCAGAGTGTCCTGTCAAACCGCAACGAAAGCAAGCTCCGGTTCGGTCTGTCTGCGATCTACAATTAGTGCGGACATGGCCAAAACACCAGCACTTGTAGCACTGGACCGGACGTTTACGAAGTAAATCAATTTTTACTCTAGTCCAGCCCAGCATTACTATGCCTCTCTCCGCAATTCTCACGGCAGTTTGCAATGGGCAGCTCACCCATGTGGCTCCCATACCATCACGCATATTAATTATTGGACTTACCTTGAATTCCTCGCGTGGACAGCCACTCATGGATTCCAATTGCGAGTATATTTCCTCTGTTGTTGTTGAGGGATCAATCCCTCGCAATCGCAGCTCTCCCATCGCAACCGGATTGTAGACCTTAGCCTCATCACCTAGTGCCTCCGCGAGACGGGTTTTCAACGTTCCAGCCAGCTGTTTGCCCTGTGGTCCGGGTACCTCGATAATAATTGCACCATTCATCGCCCTACGTATGACCGTGGTTTGTATTCCCAAAGTCCTTAAGGGAGACTCTTTCTCTAGCCTTAGCTAGAATTTGCGCATAAGTGGCCCCACCAGGTTTACCGGTAATAGTAACAACTGCCGGTTTAATTAGCTTTTTACCCGATTTAACAGCGTTATTCTTCGGTTTAGTAAACCTCTGTCGTGGGTTTATTTCCTCTCGTTTATCAGGCAAAGCCTGCACACGTTTTCCCCTCCTCGCCCACCTCAACCCAATCGTCCCTGCCGGATGAAGGGTAGGGATCTAGGGGATCACGGGGAGGAACCAACTGTCTATTCTCAATTATTCTAATGCGCGTGCGCGATTTGCCAGAATCATCCGATCTAATGTTAGCATCCTTTAACCTACTTGTATATAGATTAGTTTTAGCGCTATTTACATTGTTAGTTTTTAAATTATCTATATTAGTATTTTTAGGCTTAGATTTAACTTCTGTGTTCCAGGGCGTAGATTCACTATCCTTAGGCCATTGTATGTCTCGGTCCATATAGTCCGCGTCGGTCGAGCATCCAGGAGTATTGCCATACAGGGGTTCTGTTTCCATCTCAGGATACTTCTCCTCCTGTTGTTTGAACATTGTAGGGATAGTATCCGTCTCTCTACTCTTCTCAATTTTCCTCTTTCGCGGTGTGGACGATTTCCTCGACGTTTCCGTGTCTATCTGTGACAAGTAACATGCCTTAACAGCAGGAAACGGGCCAAAGCCTTCCTTCAGAGACCTTACTTCTCGCTCCAAATTGGCCATCATCTTACGCAGACTCAGAATTTCATTATTTTGAGCCTGCTCTTTCCGCTTTAACTCATTAAGCTCATCCTTGAGAATAAAATTTTCGTTTCTTAGGCTAAATACATCTCCTACAGTGGTGAGTTTTTCAATCATAGCCCTGGTTATCTCCGTTGCTATTTTCTTGCTTTCCTTCATACGACCGGCTACCCGGCCGGAAATGTTGCTGCAGCGGCTCCTCTGTTGCTCCAATTCCGCTAGGTGTGTAAGACACCTCTCACCAAGGGCCGCCGGATCCATTTTCAGCCAATCCTCTCTGGTAAATTGGAGTTCTTTTTCCACTTCTTCCTTCGTAACTATTATAGGAGCTGGTGGTTTCTTTTTTGGTTTAATAACCGGTTTTTCAGCAGAATGATCGCGAGTGACTCTCTTACTATCTCTCTTTCTCTGCAATTTCTTATTAGAAGAACAATATTTGCTCGTTCTATCACTGTCTGAGTTAGACTCAGAATAATCATAATCAGGTTTTTTCTTTCTACGCACTCTATCATATGTAGACAGTCTACTCCAGTCGTTTTCATTATCGGAGCCTATTTCTGTGCCGCTTTTTTCGGTATCCGTACGTATACGGTTTACTAAAGAATCTATATATTCTTCTCTGCGAGCACTACTAGATCTACTAAACCTTGTCATCTGCATTAGATTATCTGTATCCTCTTGGTGAGATTTCATAGATTTATTGCTCTTTCGTTGTCGCGAGGCAGTGAGCTGACTAAAATCCGCCATTTCCTTTTTATGCTTAACACCCGCTCTAGTAACACGGTATTTAGATGATGAAGCATCTGATTCCTCGCTAAGTGCTGTGATCGCGTCCGTTATCGCGTCATCGTCTGCACTATTCTCACTTTCTTCTATAATTGCAGCGCTATTCTTACTCACAGGGGAGTCTGCTGACTCAATGACCCGCGCCTTAATAGGTCTGCGGAAACTAGGACCTCCCAATCCATCCGACTCACTGCTCGGAGATGTTAAGGCTTTTCTTTTCTCGCCTGCAGTCTGATTGGTTGTTTCCTCAGCTGGAAGTGTAAGGGGTGTGTCCGTGGTATCACGGGGCACCACCTCTCCACAGTCTATTTCAGCAGTAGCTGCTTGGTCTGTTGGGGCGCTGCCAAAATCCACCCCAACAGTGCCCTCACATGATTCCCGCCCTAAGGCGGTCGACCCGGCGGCGTCGGGCGCACCACCGTGCCGGTCCCTGGGGGATCCGAGGGCCCCCTGAGACGGTAAGCCTGTATCTATACCTTGTGTAGAAGCCATATTGTATAAGTGATTTGGGGACGTAATTCGAGCGTCCCCCTCTCTAGAGCGATTGGGTGTAACTAGGCCCTGGGTTCGCTCAACCCTAGAGGAGCAAACGATATTCTTACGCTCCAAATCTGAAATGGACAAACTTGATTGTTCGATAGAGGATAATAGCTGGCTGGATGCATTGTCCATCTGGTTCTCCAGTTCCAGCAAAACCTTCTTCTTATCTTCAATTCTTCTGCTGATGTCACGCAAAGCTGCTTGGGACTGGTCTATTTCATTGATCATTCTAGTATCTAGAATGATTTCTAATTCAGTGTCAGCATTGTTAGTTTTTTCTAAAGGGCCATGATCCGAGGATGTCTCTTGGTAACTACCTCGAAAGGGTAGCTCCTCGGTAGGGGGTGTTAATCCCCTTAGGACACTAATTTCTGCATTATGATCCTGTTCGCGTACTTCCATAATTTTGACTCGATGTAATAAGTATATCCGCGCAAGGCACATCTGCTGCCCGTAATCGTAAAGCATTTTAGTATACGCGATTGTCGCACGGATGTTATTCCTAAGAGTATGCTTACCTTCTAACTTAAGGTAATTTTCAACAGAATATAAGTTTCTTATCGCACAACCAAACAAATCCTCCAGAGAGACACAGTCCGTAGCTAGCCTTTTCATAAAATCATTAATGTCAATGACATCCTCCATTTTATATGCAGTATTTAGTGATTATGCCAATGACGACTATTTACTAAGATGTGCTTAGTAGCCAGTTATATATAATTACAACTAATAATAGTAAATAATAACCAGCTATTCATAATTAACCAATACGAGATTATCCTAAATAAGTATAATCGCCGCTATGCTTTATTTAACTTAATCAATGAGTACTTAATAACTAATTGTAAATATAATAACAATGAGTACTTAATAACTAGCTATAAATATTACATATGCATTATCTTATTAATATTAATTACCCTATGCTATTCTTAAATTACTACACGGAGTTATCAATTAGTATATATATACTTAGACTGTAAGTTATTTATATCATACATCAACAATCAAAATACTTATAATTATTTAGGCAATTTCTATATAGCTTATAACATAAAGCGCAAAACGCAAAATTCGTCTTAGTATACGAGTTCGACAACTTTACGAACACCACTCATGTAAACTCGGCTTGAGGCTTCGGTAATGTGACTTTCCTCTCTATACATTTCCCGCTCCCAGTCCACCCGTCATATCGAAATGTGTCGCGGAAGGTTCAGCCCTCCCGCGTTATTGCTAAGTTAACAGTGTTTAATTAACAATTAATTACTTGGTACGCTTAATAATAATGATTGCAATTTACTATGTTAGCAGATTCCGCCAGGCTAACCCGATATATGTCAATGACAGTGCTCATAAAAACGGGAGAACGAGGAACAAGATCAATGTCAGGTTACAACAGTACTGACAGAATAAATAATTATTCAGAAACACATTGTGTAGCGGGGCCAACAATAATCATCAGCACCGCCACACGTGAGTTAATGATCGAAGATGATAGAAAAAATTATTCCAAGGTATCCCCTCGCGTTACCTGTATAATAACACATCAAATCAGTTATGTCAGCTACCACAGCAATATGCTTAAAAAGGATACTATTATTATCTGTCTTTTACAATATTATTTACATCAATAGATATACCATTATAGGTTTAGATTAATAGCTAAATAAGTGTAATTCCTGTAGGTTAGCTTATTCCATTGGATGCGAAGGAACACCCCAGAACAACGCCGTACAGTTTCGATCCTGTTATAATAGTACAACTATAACGGAGAAGATTCCCGCAACAATCTTCTTAGTATTCATTTATTATCCGCAGCAAAACATCATAGCTATTCTATAATGCTTCTATACAGCATGTTACTTGCTTATTTATGTTATGTTTCTAACAACAGTCATTCAGCAGCTGTCTATATAATTTATTATCTTTTTCAGCTTTCTTTAGACAATTCCTTTAATGGGAAGACCACTGCACGCATTACAAGGATTGAGTTATCACCCAGTGTCGACACACAGTATCGACCAAAGTGATGGCGATCACAACTCTATAAACAACCACCACAGTATTATACCGAGGCAGTATTTAAGTCTGCCCAGCTGTCATAAATACCTTTTATATTGAGGTTATAAAAAGCGGCAGTGCACGGGGAGTATATTTTACTTTTATATATCAATCAATAATACAATTCCATGCTACTCATGGCCAGACGAACTCAGTATTTTGTTATTACTGTTATTATTATATCAGTCAATCAAATATATATTATATTAGCCTGTGTTAAGTTTATATTTAACAATATTTATACCGTAATACCTGTGAGTGTATACTACAGCCAATTATTTCTCTTTCCAGGTTTATACACTTAGTGCATTGAGAGTCGTCACTAAAGTCAAATAAATAACTACAATGATCCGTCTCAATGCAGCAGCAATTAAGTTTAGTAACGTCGCAGCTGATCTGCAACCAGTTCAGGCATAAGACAGGTCGATCAAATTATCACCATTAATTACAGTAATTATATCGTCAAGCCCATTTCAATTTAACTAATTTAGGAAAATTATTGCCTTTACGCAAGAAAGAAACTATTAGTTACATTAATTCACTAAATTCAATTATCTATATATTTACTTATTATATTATTTATTTATCACAATGTAGGCATCAAAACTTACTTATATTATAGTAAATTAATTCAAAGTTATATATTAAGTTTATGCCTATAATTACTTTATACTTAAATAACTTAAATGCTTCTAATTACTTAAATGAAATTACTTAAATTAATTATATAATTATTATTATTATATCAACTAATTGAATATTGGTCTGTATTAAGTTTATATTAACAATTTATATCCTACTTATAAAAATAAAGTAATTCTTTACGAAAGCTTATATAATTATGTTAATTCCATTATCAGATTAGCAAAAAAACTAATACACTCCTTATTTCAGATATATGCTCGCAATTACACAGAAATTGCGTGTCATGCATCCAGTACGCAGTACCAAAATCAACCAATAATCCTATTATAATATATAAGGAGAGTATTTATTCACAATTATTATCGTGAAATATGCCTCGATTCGATAAAATATATAAATTATCACTATTAATTACAGTAATTATATCACCGAGCTCATTTTAATTTAGTTAATTTAAGTAAATTATTGCCCCTACGCAAGAAAGAAACTACTAGCTATATTTATTCACTTATCTGTCTATTTACTTATTGTCTTATATATACACAATATAGGCATCAAAATTATTTATATTATATTAAATTAATTCAAAATTATATATTAAATTTATGCTTATAATTACTTAAATGAGTAAATTACTACACGGAGTTATCAATTAGTATATATATACTTAGACTGTAAGTTATTTATATCATACATCAACAATCAAAATACTTATAATTATTTAGGCAATTTCTATATAGCTTATAACATAAAGCGCAAAACGCAAAATTCGTCTTAGTATACGAGTTCGACAACTTTACGAACACCACTCATGTAAACTCGGCTTGAGGCTTCGGTAATGTGACTTTCCTCTCTATACATTTCCCGCTCCCAGTCCACCCGTCATATCGAAATGTGTCGCGGAAGGTTCAGCCCTCCCGCGTTATTGCTAAGTTAACAGTGTTTAATTAACAATTAATTACTTGGTACGCTTAATAATAATGATTGCAATTTACTATGTTAGCAGATTCCGCCAGGCTAACCCGATATATGTCAATGACAGTGCTCATAAAAACGGGAGAACGAGGAACAAGATCAATGTCAGGTTACAACAGTACTGACAGAATAAATAATTATTCAGAAACACATTGTGTAGCGGGGCCAACAATAATCATCAGCACCGCCACACGTGAGTTAATGATCGAAAATGATAGAAAAAATTATTCCAAGGTATCCCCTCGCGTTACCTGTATAATAACACATCAAATCAGTTATGTCAGCTACCACAGCAATATGCTTAAAAAGGATACTATTATTATCTGTCTTTTACAATATTATTTACATCAATAGATATACCATTATAGGTTTAGATTAATAGCTAAATAAGTGTAATTCTTGTAGGTTAGCTTATTCCATTGGATGCGAAGGAACACCCCAGAACAACGCCGTACAGTTTCGATCCTGTTATAATAGTACAACTATAACGGAGAAGATTCCCGCAACAATCTTCTTAGTATTCATTTATTATCCGCAGCAAAACATCATAGCTATTCTATAATGCTTCTATACAGCATGTTACTTGCTTATTTATGTTATGTTTCTAACAACAGTCATTCAGCAGCTGTCTATATAATTTATTATCTTTTTCAGCTTTCTTTAGACAATTCCTTTAATGGGAAGACCACTGCACGCATTACAAGGATTGAGTTATCACCCAGTGTCGACACACAGTATCGACCAAAGTGATGGCGATCACAACTCTATAAACAACCACCACAGTATTATACCGAGGCAGTATTTAAGTCTGCCCAGCTGTCATAAATACCTTTTATATTGAGGTTATAAAAAGCGGCAGTGCACGGGGAGTATATTTTACTTTTATATATCAATCAATAATACAATTCCATGCTACTCATGGCCAGACGAACTCAGTATTTTGTTATTACTGTTATTATTATATCAGTCAATCAAATATATATTATATTAGCCTGTGTTAAGTTTATATTTAACAATATTTATACCGTAATACCTGTGAGTGTATACTACAGCCAATTATTTCTCTTTTCCAGGTTTATACACTTAGTGCATTGAGAGTCGTCACTAAAGTCAAATAAATAACTACAATGATCCGTCTCAATGCAGCAGCAATTAAGTTTAGTAACGTCGCAGCTGATCTGCAACCAGTTCAGGCATAAGACAGGTCGATCAAATTATCACCATTAATTACAGTAATTATATCGTCAAGCCCATTTCAATTTAACTAATTTAGGAAAATTATTGCCTTTACGCAAGAAAGAAACTATTAGTTACATTAATTCACTAAATTCAATTATCTATATATTTACTTATTATATTATTTATTTATCACAATGTAGGCATCAAAACTTACTTATATTATAGTAAATTAATTCAAAGTTATATATTAAGTTTATGCCTATAATTACTTTATACTTAAATAACTTAAATGCTTCTAATTACTTAAATGAAATTACTTAAATTAATTATATAATTATTATTATTATATCAACTAATTGAATATTGGTCTGTATTAAGTTTATATTAACAATTTATATCCTACTTATAAAAATAAAGTAATTCTTTACGAAAGCTTATATAATTATGTTAATTCCATTATCAGATTAGCAAAAAACTAATACACTCCTTATTTCAGATATATGCTCGCAATTACACAGAAATTGCGTGTCATGCATCCAGTACGCAGTACCAAAATCAACCAATAATCCTATTATAATATATAAGGAGAGTATTTATTCACAATTATTATCGTGAAATATGCCTCGATTCGATAAAATATATAAATTATCACTATTAATTACAGTAATTATATCACCGAGCTCATTTTAATTTAGTTAATTTAAGTAAATTATTGCCCTTACGCAAGAAAGAAACTACTAGCTATATTTATTCACTTATCTGTCTATTTACTTATTGTCTTATATATACACAATATAGGCATCAAAATTATTTATATTATATTAAATTAATTCAAAATTATATATTAAATTTATGCTTATAATTACTTAAATGAGTAAATGCTTCTAATTACTTAAATGGGATTACTTAAATTAATTATATTCTTACGAAACTTACAACTATAACAATTTCGGTAACGAATTAGCATGAGCTAATATATTCCTTATAAGCTATATGTTTCTATATGTCTCAGTAAACAACAATTAATATTATGCTATTATTAATGTTATTATTATATATTATATATATCTTCCTATTTATATCCTACTTGTAAGATTAGAATAATTCTTCACAGAACTTATAAAATTATATCAATTCAAGCTAATGTATTCCTTGTTTCAGATACCACAGCTAATTTACAATTAATTCCAGCAAAAGCAGGTGATTGCAACATCAAATTTATCACAGTAAATTTATGCTTATAATTACATAAGTGACTTAGCAACAACAATTAATATTATACTATTATTAATGTTATTATATCAGTTAATTCAAATTATATATTATATTAGTCTATATTAAATTAAATTCATATCTAACTATTTATATCCTACTTGTAAGATTAGTATAATTCTTCACAGAAACTTATAAGATTATATCAATTCAAGCTGCGTATTCCTTGTTTCAGATACCACAGCTAATTTACGACCAGTTCAGGCAAAAAGCAGGTCAATTACAACATCAACATTATCACAATAATAATTATATCGCAAGTACTTTATGATTTAATTAATTTAAGAAATTATTACCTTTGCGCAAGATAGAAATAGGAGTCTGTCAATTACACAGTTCACTTATCTGTATATTTACTTATTATATTATTTATACACGATATGACATCTAAATTATTTATATTATACAATGACCATAGATAATATATGATATGTCTGCTACACCAATAATATCTATTATATTTGGTTTATATAACACATCACGTCTGGCAACTACATGCTTTTTATTATTAAGTATCCAGTTTACCAGACTTAGATTAACAAGACAGCAATCTAACAAAGCGTTTGTTCTATACTCTGCGCAGCACAATGTATTATATATAATAACTCAATCCAAATATCAATGTCTTAACTCATCTTATCTAAGATTTGGCAGATAGTAAGGTCAATAATACTATTTACGTGTTATAACTTCATTAATTCAATCATTAATGATTGTGATCTATCTCCTAATGAGAAGAACCTATAGATATTCACAGTTAATGCGCAACAACATGTAGTGTTGCTGTCTGGGGCAACTTCCCAGACCGTTTTATAGTTCTTTCTTAATATCGGATTTTAATGTCTATACAGCCAAAGCAAAATTAGATTTTAACAATAGTGACGTCAGGCAGTATTTATTATATAATTTATACAGTAGAAACCTCTGAATTATTTATATTAATAACGATTATGAATGATATGTCTACTACACTAGTAGTATCTATTAGAATCTGCAAGACATAAATATTGTTACATCTGTCACATCTGAAGATTCTGGCAATTGCGCACGAATACACGAGACAGGGATGAACATGCCATATGCACTTGTCATATGGCAGCCACCAACCGAGCACATCGTGCACAAATATTCAATACAATTATGGCAAATATTGCAATTAAACTCAAATAGGCAGTTTAGGAAATGACGTATCGCAGGAATAACATTTAAACAAATGATTGCGAGTTCTATTTCCATTCATAATAACTGCGACCGCACTTTGCCTATTATAGTTTCCCTACAGTCTTGATAATTGTCAATTATTTTATTTTACCTCTATAGGTAATTATCTTAATTGTTATTTATTATTTAGTATCTCCAATCATTGAGCAAAGTCCTATAGCTAGCTATTTAACACCATATCAACGCACTATCATCAGTGAAATGCTTATAAGTAAATGAGTACGTGTTGGGACATATTTGTATATTATTAATTCTAATATAATAACAAACAAACTGTCAATGTAATGTGTCATGTATACACTATAATGTTCTATATTTATTCAGTATCGAGGTATACAACCAATATATTTATATAGCACCTCACGCATATATTAGACAATGCAGTCCACATAGTCGGTCTGTTACGTCAAAAATTATGTAAGGTTTGTATTAAACAACGGTAATTGTTATTGTTTATTCCGCAGGTTATGTTTATAATTATATGTCAAATTATATGTAATCACAAAATCATCCGTACGCGCTTCAATTTATAAAGCACCCGGAAGTTTGCCAGATTAACACACTAACCAGCAATCATCCACATATATTAACGCATTTAGCGTATTTTATATTAATTGTTGAGTTAATAATTTCTAAAGTGTACGAAGTACAGCAAGGGACACCACAGTATTATAAAAGTATTGCCAACCTGGAATTGAGCACGCGCGCACTGCGCCGTACACAATATCAGTAATCCACGCAGTCACGTGGCGTAGACCTGTTCAGTAATTTGAGTTACCACCTTAAACTTGAGCACGCGCGCGTTGCGCACAAGTCGACAGATCGTTCTTTGCGCATCTGTCCGGCAACTACACTATTATTAAAAATTATTGAAATTAATGTTAATTATTAACACCACAGCATCATAAGCACTATATTATGCAACAGTGTTGTTGCTTCTATTATCCGTGGTTATGAGTAAGCAATGAGAATCGTCATTGTAACACAATCATCCATTTAAACTCGCTCCGTGTGATAGAAAGAGACAGAGGAGCAACAATGTTTAGTAATGAAATAGTAGTCCGTAAAATACAATAGCACAAAAATGTAAGTCACTCACTATTTCTATGCACACAATATACTAGCTAAATATGTTTTAGTATTTTAGCTTCCACATTCCAAGAAAAATTCGATGTAGTACGTCAATTAACATGACACGTGGCAATTTCCACTAGGAAGATTGGAGCTGCACGTCTTTTAGCGTTAATATTAAATGTTAACAGCCTTCCCAGAGGATGCCCACAAGATATATACTTCACAAAATTTCACTTTTTAACAAGTATGTCTTAAAACACTCTACTCGGCGTGAAACGCCGAAAAAACTCGGTTTCAAAAATTGCCTCACTAAATCGACCTTTAGTGGGACATAGTCTCTGATCAACTCAACCTAACCTGACCTAACCTGACCAATCCTGACCAATCCTGACCAATCCTGACCAATCCTGACCAATCCTGACCAATCCTGACCAATCCTGACCAATCCTGACCAATCCTGACCAATCCTGACCAATCCACGTGAGAAGGCTGGCGCGCATGCGAGAAGACTCCCACTGACGCGCGAAGATTGCCGCGCATGCGAGAAGACTCCCAATCACGTGCGAAGTCTGCCGCGCATGCGACAAGCCTCCCAATCACGTGCGAAGACTGTTGCGCATGCGAGAAGACTCCCAATGACGCGCGAAGACTGCCGCGCATGCGAGAAGACTCCCAATCACGTGCGAAGACTGCCGCGCATGCGAGAAGACTTCCAATCACGTGCGAAGACTGCCGCGCATGCGAGAAGACTCCCAATGACGCGCGACAGCTGCCACGCACGCGCGAAGACTCCCAATCACGTACTAAGACTGCCGCGCATGCGACAAGCCTCCCAATCACGTGCGAAGACTGCCGCGCATGCGAGAAGACTCCCAATGACGCGCGACAGCTGCCACGCACGCGCGAAGACTCCCAATCACGTACTAAGACTGCCGCGCATGCGACAAGCCTCCCAATCACGTGCGAAGACTGCCGCGCATGCGAGAAGACTCGTAGTGACGCGCGAAGGATATCTCGTATGCGCGAAGGCTAGCAGTGACGCACGGAAGCTGCCGCGCTAGCGAGAAGACTCCCAATGACGCGTGACAGCTGCCACGCACGCGCGAAAACTCCCAATCACGTGCGAAGACTGCCGCGCATGCGAGAAGACTTCCAATCACGTGCGAAGACTGCCGCGCATGCGAGAAGACTCCCAATGACGCGCGACAGCTGCCACGCACGCGCGAAGACTCCCAATCACGTACTAAGACTGCCGCGCATGCGACAAGCCTCCCAATCACGTGCGAAGACTGCCGCGCATGCGAGAAGACTCCCAATCACCTGCGAAGACTGCCGCGCATGCGAGAAGACTCGCAGTAACGCGCGAAGGATATCGCGTATGCGCGAAGGATAGCATTGACGCACGGAAGCTGCCGCGCATGCGAGAAGACTCCCAATCACGTGCGAAGACTGCCGCGCATGCGAAAAGACTTCCAATCACGTGCGAAGACTGCCGCGCATGCGAGAAGACTCCCAATTACGCGCGACAGATGCCACGCACGCGCGAAGACTCCCAATCACGTACTAAGACTGCCGCGCATGCGACAAGCCTCCCAATCACGTGCGAAGACTGCCGCGCATGCGAGAAGACTCCCAATGACGCGCGAAGGCTATCACGTATGCGCGAAGACTCCCAATCACGTATTAAGACTGCCGCGCATGCGAGAAGACTCCCAATAACGCGCGACAGCTGCCACGCACGCGCGAAGACTCCCAATCACGTACTAAAACTGCCGCGCATGCGAGAAGACTCCCAATCACGTGCGAAGACTGCCGCGCATGCGACAAGCCTCCCAATCAAGTTCGAAGACTGCCGCGCATGCGAGAAGACTCCCTATGACTCGCGACAGCTGCCACGCACGCGCGAAGACTCCCAATCACGTGCGAAGACTGCCGCGCATGCGACAAGCCTCCCAATCAAGTTCGAAGACTGCCGCGCATGCGAGAAGACTCCCAATGACGCGCATAGGCTATCACGTAAGCGCGAAGACTCCCAATCACGTGCGAAGACTGCCGCGCATGGGAGAAAACTCCCAATAACGCGCGAAGGTTATCACGTATGCGCGAAGACTCCCAATCACGTATTAAGACTGCCGCGCATGCGAGAAGACTCGCAGTAACGCGCGAAGGATATCACGTATGCGCGAAGGCTAGCAATGACGCGCGGAAGCTGCCGCGCATGCGAGAAGACTCCCAATGACGCACGACAGCTGCCACGCATGCGAGAAGACTCCCAATGACGCGTTACAGCTGCCACGCACGCGCGAAGACTCCCAATCACGTGCGAAAACTGCCGCGCATGCGAGAAGACTCCTAATGACGCGCGACAGCTGCCACGCACGCGCGAAGACTCCCAATCACGTGCGAAGACTGCCGCGCATGCGAGAAGACTCTCAATGACGCGCGAAGGCTATCACGTATGCGCGAAGACTCCCAATCACGTTCGAAGACTGCCGCGCATGCGAGAATACTCCCAATGACGCGCAAAGACTGCCGCGCATGCGAGAAGACTCCCAATCACGTATAAAGACTGCCGCGCATGCGAGAAGACTCCCAATAACGCGCGACAGCTGCCACGCACGCGCGAAGACTCCCAATCACGTACTAAGACTGCCGCGCATGCGAGAAGACTCCCAATGACGCACGAAGGCTATCACGTATGCGCGAAGACTCCCAATCACGAACTAAGACTGCCGCGCATGCGACAAGCCTCCCAATCACGTGCGAAGACTGCCGCGAATGCGAGAAAACTCCCAATGACGCGCGGCAGCTGCCACGCACGCGCGAAGACTCCCAATCAGGTGCGAAGACTGCCGCGCATGCGAGAAGACTCACAGTAACGCGCGAAGGATATCACGTATGCGCGAAGGCTAGCAATGACGCACGGAAGCTGCCGCGCATGCGAGAAGACTCCCAATGACGCGCGAAGGCTATCACGTATGCGCGAAGATTCCCAATCACGTACTAAGACTGCCGCGCATGCGAGAAGACTCCCAATCAAGTTCGAAGACTGCCGCGCATGCGAGAAGACTCCCATTCACGTGCGAAGACTGCCGCGCATTCGACAAGCCTCCCAATGACGCACGAAGGCTATCACGTATGCGCGAAGACTCCCAATCACGAACTAAGACTGCCGCGCATGCGACAAGCCTCCCAATCACGTGCGAAGACTGCCGCGAATGCGAGAAGACTCCCAATGACGCGCGGCAGCTGCCACGCACGCGCGAAGACTCCCAATCAGGTGCGAAGACTGCCGCGCATGCGAGAAGACTCACAGTAACGCGCGAAGGATATCACGTATGCGCGAAGGCTAGCAATGACGCACGGAAGCTGCCGCGCATGCGAGAAGACTCCCAATCACGTGCGAAGACTGCCGCGCATGCGAGAAGATTCGCAGTAACGCGCGAAGGATATCGCGTATGCGCGAAGGATAGCATTGACGCACGGAAGCTGCCGCGCATGCGAGAAGACTCCCAATCACGTGCGAAGACTGCCGCGCATGCGAAAAGACTTCCAATCACGTGCGAAGACTGCCGCGCATGCGAGAAGACTCCCAATTACGCGCGACAGATGCCACGCACGCGCGATGACTCCCAATCACGTACTAAGACTGCCGCGCATGCGACAAGCCTCCCAATCCCGTGCGAAGACTGCCGCGCATGCGAGAAGACTCCCAATGACGCGCGAAGGCTATCACGTATGCGCGAAGACTCCCAATCACGTATTAAGACTGCCGCGCATGCGAGAAGACTCCCAATAACGCGCGACAGCTGCGACGCACGCGCGAAGATTCCCAATCACGTACTAAGACTGCCGCGCATGCGAGAAGACTCCCAATCACGTGCGAAGACTGCCGCGCATGCGACAAGCCTCCCAATCAAGTTCGAAGACTGCCGCGCATGCGAGAAGACTCCCAATCACGTGCGAAGACTGCCGCGCATTCGACAAGCCTCCCAATCACGTGCGAAGACTGCCGCGCATGCGAGAAGACTTCCAATCACGGGCGAAAACTGCCGCGCATGCGAGAAGACTCCCAATGACGCGCGACAGCTGCCACGCACGCGCGAAGACTCCCAATCACGTACTAAGACTGCCGCGCATGCGACAAGCCTCCCAATCACGTGCGAAGACTGCCGCGCATGCGAGAAGACTTCCAATCACGGGCAAAGACTGCCGCGCATGCGAGAAGACTCCCAATGACGCGCGACAGCTGCCACGCACGCGCGAAGACTCCCAATCACGTACTAAGACTGCCGCGCATGCGACAAGCCTGCCAATCACGTGGGAAGACTGCCGCGCATGCGAGAAGACTCCCAATGACGCGCGAAGGCTATCACGTATGCGCGAAGACTCCCAATCACGATCGAAAACTGCCGCGCATGCGAGAAGACACCCAATCACGTGCGAAGACTGCCGCGCATGCGAGAAGACTCCCAATCACGTGCGAAGACTGTCGCGCATTCGACAAGCCTCCCAATCACGTGCGAAGACTGCCACGCATGCGCGAAGACTCCCTATCACTTGCGAAGACTGCCGCGCATGCGAGAAAACACCCAATCACGTGCGAAAACTGCCGCGCATTCAACAAGCCTCCCAATCACGTGCGAAGACAGCCGCACATGCGAGAAGACTCGCAGTAACGCGCGAAGGATATCACGTATGCGCGAAGGCTAGCAATGACGCACGGAAGCTGCCGCGCATGCGAGAAAACTCCCAATCACGTGCGAAAACTGCCGCGCATGCGAGAAGACTCGCAGTAACGCGCGAAGGATATCGCGTATGCGCGAAGAATAGCATTGACGCACGGAAGCTGCCGCGCATGCGAGAAGACTCCCATTCACGTGCGAAGACTGCCGCGCATGCGAAAAGACTTCCAATCACGTGCGAAGACGGCCGCGCATGCGAGAAGACTCCCAATTACGCGCGACAGATGCCACGCACGCGCGAAGACTCCCAATCACGTACTAAGACTGCCGCGCATGCGACAAGCCTCCCAATCACGTGCGAAGACTGCCGCGCATGCGAGAAGACTCCCAATCACGTGCGAAGACTGCCGCGCATTCGACAAACCTCCCAATCACGTGCGAAGACTGCCGCGCATGCGAGGAGACTCCCAGTGACGCGCAAAGGCTATCACGTATGCACGAAGACTCCCAATCACATGCGAAGACTGCCGCGCATGCGAGAAGACTCCCAATCAGGAGCGAGGACTGCCGTGCGTGCGCGAAGACTGCCAATCAGGAGCGAGGACTGCCGCGCACGCCGCCAAGACTCCCAATCAGGCGCGAGGACTGCCGAACATGCGCGAAATTGCAAATTTAAAGGTTTAAAGGTTTAAAATTTCGTTGGCGCTAAAATGTAGCGTCAGCCATTGGTTGAACAATGAAGCAACTACTTACTTCTTTGTTCAACCAATGGTTGACGCTACCTTTTAGCGACAATGAAATTATCTTCCTTTATTCCTCCATTGTCCTCCAGACGGTCCTTTTGTGTAATAAATATAATGCTCCATCTGTATACGTAATACGTCTATGCTCCGAGATGTAGGAATTACCTGGTCTGAAGTACTGTCGATCTTGTCGACGTTTGTGGTTTAATTAATCGATTCAATGATTATTGTATATAAATCATCGAATATCTTACTTATATTTTGATCTGCCGAAAAAATTATTACATTGACATTATAGATCAATATATATAATTGCAAATTTATAATTTAATATTGCTAGTCAAATGCCTAATGTCATAATGTCTAAGAATGTATATTATATATATTGATGTATATGATAATGTTAAAAATTAAAAATAAATTGCCATCAGTATTAAATAATTAAATAAAAATGGAGGAGAGAGCAATGCTATGGATGCTTTCTCTTGTTATGTTTGTTGGATCTTGTCTTGGAGCTGGATCACTGCCATTAAGTTAAATAAATTTATCAGAAGAAGTAAGATATAGAAGTGAAGAAGAATATTTTATGTAATATAAAATTATGTATGTATATAATAGGTGTATATCAGAATTCATTGTATCTTGTAATTTACGTGCAATATGTTTTCCATAGGACAAGTTACAATTAGTTTCAATATTAGGAGCAGGACTCCTTGTTGGTACTGCGCTAGCGATTATACCTGACTGTAACCTGAGGGTGTAAGAGCATTATTATTTACTGTGGATGGTATTACTAATGAAAAAGGTTCATATAGTATGCAATTGCATGTTTACTGATTACCATATTTCATGAAATTAACATCTGATTAATAGTATTCCTGTTCTTTTTTCTTTTTTTACAGGCAATTTACATACTTTAACTTGGAATTAGTTTAGTACTTGGTTTATGCTTTTAATTGATCAATGTTCAGCCAGAAAAAGTGGAGGAAGACAAGAAAAGTATTACAGCAACTTTAGGTCTTATAGTAGATGCTGCTAGTTGATTGGCGGTGTTGCATTGGGAGCTGCTGCTACTACATCTCAAGCTGATGTCGAAGTGTCTTAGTTTTTCTTCGCAATAATGTTACACAAGGTAAGAAGGTTATATACAATGTTTCAGAAATGAATTAACAAGCGCTTATAAAATATGTAAGTTAATATAATTAGCTTATCAATTTTTTTTATCGCTGAACATTAAATTATATTTTATAGGCGCCAGATGCATTTGGACTTGTGTCAATTTCTTCTTCATGAAGGTGTAGATAGAAAGTAAGAAAATAAGCAGACACTTATTAATTTTCTCTCTTGCGGCACCGTGTCTTGCACTTGTGACATATTTTGGAATTGGAAAAGTAATGTGAGTGAGTAATGTAAGCTATGTTTAGCCATAATAACTCTTTATATATATTCTAAAGATATTTCTACACAAAGTTTATGTAACAATATTGTATGGAAATATTACATTAGTATAGTAAATCTTATATTTGGATGAGGGCACTTTTACGAATTACATCCTTTTCCTGTCACTTAAAAAGAAGAAAACTTTAAGATTTCCAATTTATTTCAAATAATAATAATTATAATTAATTAATAACAGATAAATTAAAGTTTTTATTAAAATAAATTTGTTTAAATGAGTACAGAATATGAGAATACTAATATTAACGTAAAATTAATATGTATGGTCATATTGCTCATAATCTCATCTAAATTTAATTTAAATATTTGCAATTTTGGTAATAATACAAGTAAAACTTGTATCAAGTAATATGAATATAATTTTGAATTTATTTTTAAGCTAAAAATCTTGGACCTTACTTTGTATCTAAAACATCCAACAATTTAGAGGGACTTTCTATTAAAGGACTTTAATTCTCTATATATATATCTACTGACAATTTCGAAATTAAAAATAAATAATATTTAATGTTTATTAAAGGCTATTCAGTATTTTCCTTTCTATAATATATCTAAAATCATTGAAATAGATGATCTGCTGATATTTTTAACTAAAATAGATTGAAACTGATTGGAGAACCTACTTGTTTTAAAAACTCTTCAAAATAATCGTTTTACAGTACATTTTTCAATATTACTTATTAATTAATATTATAATATTGTTACATTACGTTAGATAAAGATTTCATTATCTTGCCTACATATTTTTTCTTCCTATTATACAAATTAATATTTTAATTTTGTTAAAGAGTATATGGAATGTATCGCAAGATGTGTACACATACAGTTACACCCATATGCGCACTATACTTGTTTCTTTTGCTGTATACATATGCGTATTGTTTAATAGAAACATTTATTATCTGAAAGGAAAAAATGTTCCTGCTGATGCACAAAAGCGTAACGTCATATACTGATATATCTAAACACTTATGATACTTGCCCTACAGAATGACATAATTTAGATAAAGAAAAATACTTAAATAAAGTGTGTTAGTATTTTGTTTTATATTATAGAAACAAATTTGATGTAAAGTTTATATAATTGAAGTTGCATAAAATTACTCTGCTTGCTACAGTATGCTTGCAGATATCCAAACTGTCGAAACGCAATCTCTGCAATATACAATTGTTGTATGCATATATGTATGCAAAACATATAATGGTGCAAGTTGGGAAAAAAAATGCTTTACGATTTAGAACAGATACATTAGAAGCAATTGTACTAAGCATTTAACGAATAAAATTCATTTATATATTATTTATTTGCCCAATATTTCTGTTATTAAATTACGTAATTTTTTCCTTAACAGACACCTATTGTAATGAAATAACATACAGTGCACGAGATAGTTAATCAATATATATTATAGAGAAACAATAGAAAATCCGGGTACTAATTTTAGATATTTTTTTAAAGGATGAATGTTGTTTGTGTATATATTTCCTATCGATATGTACAAATAAAACTTGTATATATATTTAGGACATTCAGGACTGCCGCGCAAGACTGCACGCGCCAATCAGGCGCGAGAACGGACGCGGACGCGCGAAGACTCCCAATCAGGAGCGAGGACTGCCGTGCGTGCGCGAAGACGTCCAATCAGGCGCGAGAACTGCCGCGCACGCCGCCAAGACTCCCAATCAGGAGCGAGGACTGCCGTGCGTGCGCGAAGACTGCCAATCAGGAGCGAGGACTGCCGCGCACGCCGCCAAGACTCCCAATCAGGCGCGAGGACTGCCGAACATGCGCGAAATTGCAAATTTAAAGGTTTAAAGGTTTAAAATTTCGTTGGCGCTAAAATGTAGCGTCAGCCATTGGTTGAACAATGAAGCAACTACTTACTTCTTTGTTCAACCAATGGTTGACGCTACCTTTTAGCGACAATGAAATTATCTTCCTTTATTCCTCCATTGTCCTCCAGACGGTCCTTTTGTGTAATAAATATAATGCTCCATCTGTATACGTAATACGTCTATGCTCCGAGATGTAGGAATTACCTGGTCTGAAGTACTGTCGATCTTGTCGACGTTTGTGGTTTAATTAATCGATTCAATGATTATTGTATATAAATCATCGAATATCTTACTTATATTTTGATCTGCCGAAAAAATTATTACATTGACATTATAGATCAATATATATAATTGCAAATTTATAATTTAATATTGCTAGTCAAATGCCTAATGTCATAATGTCTAAGAATGTATATTATATATATTGATGTATATGATAATGTTAAAAATTAAAAATAAATTGCCATCAGTATTAAATAATTAAATAAAAATGGAGGAGAGAGCAATGCTATGGATGCTTTCTCTTGTTATGTTTGTTGGATCTTGTCTTGGAGCTGGATCACTGCCATTAAGTTAAATAAATTTATCAGAAGAAGTAAGATATAGAAGTGAAGAAGAATATTTTATGTAATATAAAATTATGTATGTATATAATAGGTGTATATCAGAATTCATTGTATCTTGTAATTTACGTGCAATATGTTTTCCATAGGACAAGTTACAATTAGTTTCAATATTAGGAGCAGGACTCCTTGTTGGTACTGCGCTAGCGATTATACCTGACTGTAACCTGAGGGTGTAAGAGCATTATTATTTACTGTGGATGGTATTACTAATGAAAAAGGTTCATATAGTATGCAATTGCATGTTTACTGATTACCATATTTCATGAAATTAACATCTGATTAATAGTATTCCTGTTCTTTTTTCTTTTTTTACAGGCAATTTACATACTTTAACTTGGAATTAGTTTAGTACTTGGTTTATGCTTTTAATTGATCAATGTTCAGCCAGAAAAAGTGGAGGAAGACAAGAAAAGTATTACAGCAACTTTAGGTCTTATAGTAAGATGCTGCTAGTTGATTGGCGGTGTTGCATTGGGAGCTGCTGCTACTACATCTCAAGCTGATGTCGAAGTGTCTAGTTTTTCTTCGCAATAATGTTACACAAGGTAAGAAGGTTATATACAATGTTTCAGAAATGAATTAACAAGCGCTTATAAAATATGTAAGTTAATTAATTAGCTGAAAAGAGAGAGAATCGAATTATTTTTGAAGGAGTTTTAAAACAAGTAAAAGTTTCTTCCGAATCAGTTTTCCCAAATCTATTTTTAGTTAAAAAATGTATGCAGCAGAATTCAAATCACTTATTTTCAATGATTTTAGATATATTTTATAGAAAGGAAAATACTGAATAGCCTTTAATAAACATTAAATATTATTTATTTTTAATTTCGAAATTGTCAGTAGATATATATATAGAGAATTAAAGTCCTTTTAATAGAAAGTCCCTCTAAATTGTTGGATGTTTTAGATACAAAGATAAGGTCCAAGATTTTTAGCTTAAAAATAAATTCAAAATTATATTCATATTACTTGATACAAGTTTTACTTGTATTATTACCAAAATTGCAAATATTTAATTAAATTTAGATGAGATTATGAGCAATTGACCATACATATTAATTTTTACGTTAATATTAGTATTCTCATATTCTGTACTCATTTAAACAAATTTATTTTATAAAAACTTTAATTTATCTGTTATTAATTAATTATTAATTATTATTTATTTGAAATAAATTGGAAATCTTAAAGTTTTCTTCTTTTTAAGTGACAGGAAAACGGATGTATTCGTAAAAGTGCCCTCATCCCAAATATAAGATTTACTATACTAATGTATATTTCCATACAATATTGTTACAATAAACTTTGTGTAGAAATATCTTTAGAATATATATAAAGAGTTATTATGGCTAAACATAGCTTACATTACTCACTCACATTACTTTCCAATTCCAAAATATGTCACAAGTGCGAGCACGGTGTGCCGCAAGAAGAAAATTAAATAAGTGTCTGCTTATTTTCTTACTTTCTATCTACACCTTCATGAAGAAGAAATTGACACAAGTCCAAATGCATCTGCGCCTATAAAATATAATTTAATGTTCAGCGATAAAAAAAATTGATA